AATGCCCCTTGCTAACAACGTCTTTTTTCGAAAGTAAATGAATCAATAAAGGCAATGCTCGCCAATGCTTAATTCTGAGAAAAAAAGTAGAATTTATTAGTAAAGTGGGAGTGAGGTGAACCTTGGGAGACAGTAGCTAGTGTATACCTGTCTTTCAGCATTCTATCATTCATTCACCCCACTCCACGTAATTGCAGCCCTATTCCCTCTGGAGTCATTACCTCCCTGTCGTTGCATGCAATCTTACTGGGCATATCAATCAGAGTTCCCTGCTTTCCCCTAGCCAAGGGACAGGTGTCAGACTTAGGTAGGCCAATCAGACTCACTGTCTTTCTTAGGACTTTTAACCTTAAATAGATTGACATAGGACAGAATAATTTCTGCTAAGTGGACCCCTGGAGCCACCCTGATTTCATCTGTTTCAGAACTGTTCTGAATCTTCTTATTAGTCTGTGAGCTCCCTGCTAACCTCCCAACAAATTCCATTTTGTTTAACTTCGCCAAAGTCTTTTTCTTCTGCTACTAACCTTATAACCATGTTGAACATGACATTCATACACTCTTTACTGAACATGACACTCCCTGTCATTCTTGTGATAGTTTGGAGGAAAACAGAGGGCATAATGAGGCATCTACCTAAGATTTCAAAAACTCGAAGAAATAGGCATGTGGGTATAGCTAGAACCAATAAAGCGGGAATTGACTTAAGACTCTACAAAAAAATATATCTGAAGATACGATTTTAAAAAATAATCTTGGTGAAGGAAAAGAGAGAAATGTAAGGAAACAGATGAGTGGCTAATGGGCCATTTCAATGAAATCAGATTATAAATGACCACACACACATACACACACACAGGATGAAAGAACAGTGCGTTACTAAAGGGAAAAAGATTGATGTAAGAGTAAAAATCACAGCTGGAAAACTGAAGCCAAGAAAAAAAAAAATCAAAGCTCATGAAAAAATTTTGAGGCATCAAAATGGTCTTTTGTTGGACATAACCAGCACAAAAATGGCCAGGACAGTGTGCTGAAGCTGATGTTCTAAGGCTAATGGATAACAGGAGGGAAATAGAACTTCACAACTCTTATTTTGCTTCCATGTTCTTTACGAAAATGAAAAATCTTCAAACCTGAAAGTGTGGAATAAACATGGTTAGGAGGTAATTGAAGTCCAAGATAGGAGCCTAGATAGTGAGAGAACAGGAAGTCTCTGTAAATAACTTCATTCTTCAGACCTGGATGCATTCTATCCCACGGTGCTGAGAGAACTAACCAAAGTAATCGTAGAATCACTGCCGATAATTTTGGGAAAATTAGAAAGAATGGAAAAGTCACCTGAAAATTGGAAATAGACAAATGACTATTTCTGAAAGGAGATAGGGTAGTATAATATTGGATTTTAGAATCCACAAATAGTCAACTTAATGTGAAGCCTAGTTATTTTTATTGTTCTTCTTGTCACTTATCTATATTTTATGACATTTTGGTTAATGAACAAGTATTCCTTTTATAATAAGGAAAAATAATAAAAAGACTTATTACCAGAAAAATTCCACTGGCTGGAACAACATAAAAACAAACCAGATGAAAGTTAACATAAATAACTGTAAAGCCCTGTGTTCAGGTAAAAAACAAACAAACAAACAAACAAACAAACAAACAAACAAACAAAAACTACATAAGCATAAAATGGAGGAAAGTTGAGTCTGAGAATAGTTTATTTGAAAACTATGTGGCAGTGTTGGGCTCAAAGTCAGTATGTGCCAAAAAGGTAAGCTAATGCAATTGTAGGCAATATGAATAGAATAGAAAAGGGAGAAGGAAAGTGATGTTTCAATGATTTGTGGTCAGATCTTATCTATAGCACTGTGTCTAGTTCCGAACTCCATATGCTAAGATGGGCACTAAAGGCCTAGAAAGAGGTCAGAAGAAAGTCATCTAAACAGTAACAGGTTTGAAGACTATGTCACCTGAGAACTTGTGACCTAGGTTAATTGTTCTAGTTCAGAGAAGGCTTAAGGGATGACAGTTGTCATAGCCACAGCTTGTTCAGTAATGGGACAGGACAAGAGTAGAATGAATCCACAGAGCAGATAAATTCACCATGGAGCGGCTATAATTGGAGAAATTTCTAGAATCTGGAAGCCCAGGAAAGTGAATGGAGAAGAGGAACATCTTGCAGATGACAATAGGCAGAAGTCCAGTGAAATTAGTATCTGGGGCACCTGAGAGCAAAGAGTGGGAGCCCAGTCATTTCTGGTTCCTGGAGCTGTCCTGTTTCTGAGGAGTTACGGTATCACATAGGCAACAAAGAAAGCAACTCAAAAATGGAGATCACGAATTCAGTTAGCACCAGCTAGTAGTTCTCAGAATGTGGGTCCCAGACTAGCAAAAAATGGAGATCACGAATTCAGTTAGCACCAGCTAACTGGTGCTAACTGAATGTGGGTCCCAGACTAGCGGCATTAGGATCATCTAGGAACTAGTCAGAAATGCACATTCTTAGTGAAAGAACAGGAAGTCTCTGTAAATAACTTCGTTCTTCAGACCTGGATGAATTCTGTCCCAACTGAATTAGTAACACCCAGGGAATGTGTTTGAATATTCCCTCTGTGATTCTAATGCATGCTCAAGTTTGAGAACCACTGGCTCAGTGATTAAGCACATGGACTCTAGAGGCAGAATGCCTGGGTTTAAATCCCAGCTCTGTCAGTAACTAGCTATATGGTCTTAATTTCCTTGTTTGTAAAATGGGGATAAAATAATACTTTCCTCATAGGGTAGTTGTGCGAGTTAAATCACATACACATACACACACACATTCAAAGTGCTGAGAACAGTAACTCTGGCACATGTAAGTGTAGGTAATATTGCTTTTATGAGTCATTAGAACTTGGGTATATAGGTGAAGTAGAACCACCTTCACTTGGTCCCAAACTGGCCTACAGTGAGGGTAAACTGCTCTAGCTGTGGAAACTGGAGAACTCAGGGAGCCATGTGGGTGAGTGTACTAACTAGCTTTAAATGTTTAAATTCTGTGCTGTCTGCTTCCACAATACTCTAAAAAGCAAAACTAAGCCTAAAGGGCTAAATATAGAATGTTTTTAAGATACGGAAGCACTTTAAAAACAGTTACAACAGTCCAGTGATAGAATGAGCCACTTTCAAAAGAAGCGGGCTCTTTCCTAACGTGTGTATACTATAAGCTGAGACAAGGTCATCATCTGCAAAGAGCATCATGAAACAGATTTCTAAATTGGGTGGGAAGTAAGTGCGTCAATGATTCCTTCCACTTTTTAGAATCTAGGAGTCGAGATCTTTAAGCATTTAGATTTTCAATAGGTCCCTGCCTCCTCCCCATGAGAATGCCACTTCTGTTAGTATAAATGTCCCCTCCCCATCTCCCCACTATTTTCTTTTGGCTCTCATTTATTTCAGCTTTGGAATCCAGATGTGGCCTGATTTCAAGTCTGGAAAGAATTAATATGTAACAAAACGAGTTATAATATTAACTTGACTTTGTTTTTGTGTTTTTGTTTTTTCCCCCTTTGCTCTAGACTTCTGGAAAAAAACAAAGGGAATTTTAGCTCCTTTAGTCCTCAGATAAAGGCTAGGCAGCTGAGTCTTTATTTTTACTTTCAAGGGAAAGTTAAGAGTGGTTTTATATGCTTCAGCGATGCTCCATGTGTGCATGCGTGCGCACACATGCGTGCATGCGCACTCACACACACACACACACAGAAGAAAAACAGCAGACCTTAAAAAGACAACCACAAAAAGGCCTTATTTTCAAAAACCCGAGTCACCCTGCATGGAGAAAGCCTTTTATGTTTTGAAGATAAAAGAGTAAAGTGTTTCTTAGTGGGGTTGTTGGTTTCCAAGATACTAGGAGAGAGGGAAGGCTTGCGTGTTCTTCGTGGAGCAGGGTCTAATCTACAGGACCTGTGTAATGCCTGCAGAGGCCATTCCAAATGACTCTGTTGGCCTTCAGAGCAAAGCTGGGCCCTTACGTCCAGATCTCCAGTAAAGGCAGATCTGCTGGAACTTGTCTAGAGTGGTCTCACTGACAAATGAGTCCAGTCTTCAACAATGGCAGTGTGCAGCAAAAGGCCAGAGATGTCACAGGTGACCAGCGTGAACTGAGAACCAAATGTCTTTCCTGTCCCCTATACACATAAACACACAAAAACACACACAAACACACACACACACACACACACACACACACACACACACACATCTTTGGAGACACATCTTAGAGGAGCCGCTGTCCAGGGGCAAGCCAAAGGAAAAGGAGAACATGAAAAATGACAGATATTAGACCGATATGGACCCTCCCAAGTGGGACGTTGGCGCCAGAATGTGTTCTTGAAGCCGAAGTGTTCTAATACAACTGGTTTATATTATAAAGCTATAAATCTTTCCTGAGTATCTAGGAAGTGACATGACATCAAACATTATGGTGGACTCTGCTTGTCCCTTTTGGAAAACAAGTATCTGGAAATTATTTCAAAGGCTCAACAAAGTTACAAAATGCCTCATATCCCTTATAGTGCCCATGGGGGCCTTTCTGTCATCACTCTAGTTACTGTGGAAAGAAAATACAAATCAGAGTCCAGTGATAGGAAGGCAGTCTCTGCCTTTGATTTGCCTGAGCCTCTGATATTGTGAGCTGAGGGCCGGGGGCCAGTGACAAGCTGCTGGCTCTGCCTCAGCTGTCTGTAAATGAATGTGAGCAAACTGCTTCCTTTCTGCAGGTCCTATAAGTTTTTATTTACATAATGTGATGTTGAGCTTTGGTCTGAATCCTGGATATGTTCGTGGATTACTTTATTTTCAATCTATTTAGACACAGACCCAAGGAGGCTGCCTTGCCTGAGGAAGTTTGGTAAACTCCAACATCTGTGGCTTATTTTAGAGCCTGAGGCGAGTCTCCTCCGTTTCTGAGAACACTGCCAGGGGCGATAATTTTATTATGTTACTTTGTGAGAAAATGATTCCCTATCTAACTTTTGAGTTTATATAATGCTGGCTGTGCTGATGTGGTTAATTTCAAGGACAGTACTCATGTACTCATTCTTTTATTATTACACACACACACACACACACACACACACACACTCTTACATATAGGACGCCTACTGCGAACCTCTCCCTGGGCTGGACTGGGGAGGTTAAAGTTGAGGAGAAAAGGCCTTAGGAATGTTTGTCATCTAGCAAGCTGAGTCACTAAGCCAGGGGATCAGAGGGCAGAATCAGTGGGATTCCTTGCTGGGTTTTCGAGTTGCATCATGCTGTATGTTTGACAATGATATAAGTTCGAGAATTCAGGAGAACAAATATCAAAGAGAAGCTTCAATGTTCAGAAAGAATACGGACACTCCTGTGAATAGCAACTCTCACTTTGCATGTAAAAGGGCAATTCATACATAATTCCTCTGAGTTTCTAGAATATTTATTGAATACTCACTGGTGCACGAGGCACTTGTTAACAGTGGTTGGTTGTCACTGAGTACTAAAATTAGAAGGGGTTTTAATATCTTTCTGTTTGCTTTTCTAGTTTCCAAATTTCTTACAGAGCATATGTATTTCCTTTGAAGTTAGGGGAAAATGTCATTTATTAAATTAAAATACTCCCACCCAGCAGGCCTCTTGTGATTCTAGATTCCTTCGGATACCCACGCCCACCGGTGCTCACAGGGGTGGTGGGTAACCTCACCTCCCCTGACTGCTCGTCAGCCACTTCTAGGACCTAATCATTTTTATGCATGAATTCCCCAGTGTTGTGAAAATATAAGAGTGTTTTTTTTTCTAATTGAACTCTAATTGATACTCTGACTCATCACTCACTTCTAGTAACCTATCAGAGAGAAATAACCAGAGAAGATGACATCAAAGATTTATATAAAAGACTGTTCACTGCAGCATTGTCATGTGGAAAAAATTAGAAACAGCATAAACCTGTAATGGGAAATGTGGGTTGAATTGTGTTCCTAAGAAGATATGTTCAAGTTCCAACCCTTGGTACTGTGAATGTGATCATATTTTGAAATAAGGTGTTTACAGATGTGATCCAGTTAAAGTTAGTCATGCTCAATTAGAATGGGCCCTAATCCAATGAATGCTGTTTTTATAAGAAGAGGGAAATAGGGACACAAACACAGAGGAGAGAAGGCCATGTGACAGTGGAGGCAGAGACTGGAGTGGAGCATCTACAAGCCAAGGAATGTCGAGGATTGCTGGCAACTACCAGAAGCTGGGAGAGGCAAGGTAGGATTCTTCCTTAGAATCTTCTGAGGGAGCATGAGCCTGGCAATACCTAGAATTTGGACTTCTAGTCTTTAGCACAGTGAAAGAATACATTTTTGGTATTTGTTTCAGTAGCCCTAGGAAACTAATATAGTAAGCCAATGATTAGTGAATGTTTTTAAAGAACTGGAATTATCCAATATAACTGGTGTATATATAATCTATTTAAAAAATAACATAAAACTTAATAAGAGAGCATGTTTAAAATACACGTTCCTGGGCCCTAGATATTCCATAGATATTCTGATGCAATAAGTCTGGCTTAGTAGCCACTAATATGTTCTAGAAATCTTAGCCATCATCAGGTGGCAGACTTCTCAGCCATTGCTGGCTGGAGTCAATTACAGTTGGACCTTAATCTTATTCCTTGAGATATAATGATATAAGTTAAATGATGGGGTGGGGGACAGAGAAAAAAAATCACTTTTCTTGGTTTTCACTTTCAAGTAGACTCGGACTTCTACGGAATCTTAATTTGCAGCAAAGTAATCTGTCCATCTTACTTAGAAGAAATTGGTTTCCTTCAATCAGAATTGGGAAGGTAACAACAAAGCCTGAAGAGGTGTTTGCCAGCTTTCTGACAGTCTTAGATAGATCTCTTCTAATCCCAAATTAGAGAAATCAATCCTAGCCAACTTAAACAGGTAAGTAAACAAACAAACAAATAAATAAGGAAGTTCCAGGAAAATCTCCACAACCAGTATGAAGGAGGGCTAAACCCAAGGCAGATTCAGCAAATGTTCCTGGTTGCTAGCCTCACTCAACAGCCTGCATTCCTGATATAACGCTTCTCAGTTTAAACATCCAAATTCCTCAGAGACAAATCCGATTGCCTCTACTGAGATCAGGAAGTCCCCCTGGACAAGTCAGCTATGGCTAAGAAATAATAAGGCCATGTAATTTAGACACAACAGTTGGGTACCCATCCTGTGAAACGGGGTCAATTCTCAGAGAAGGGAAACGAGAGAGAAGCAACTCCCCTGACTCCCTCCTCCAATTCCTGCCCTTCGTCCTGCTCTGAGAACAGATCTTCAAACCTCTCCTAGGAGAGACCATCTCCGTCTTCCCTTCCCAGTCCACACTCCATTCCAGACCAACTCTTTTCCAAAATGCCTCCTGAGTCCTCCTTCCCCATAGGTCCCATCCATGTGAAATGTGGGTCCTGGTTCATGTTATATACATGTGCATTTCTGTGAAACCCCCTCTCTGGAGGTGATTCATTTAGGATCAATGGAATGATACTGCTCTTTGGATAAATGAGATTAGGACGTCAGAGCCAGTAAATCTTGATTTGACTTATTTTTCTAGTGGCAGTAATGGGTCACGTTGAGTTATTTATATGAACTTTTCTTGTGACCACTATCACACACTGGAGAGCAAACTGGCTAATTGGAGGATATAGTGTTTGCCTAGCGGCAAAATAGGGCTTTTCCCAGTGGGAAGGCTGCATGGCCAGTGCGGGAATGAAAAGTTAATCCAGGCACAACAGCACCATACCCTAAATGAAATGAGTTACCAGTTCTGAAAGTGGCTTCTGTCTATACGAAGTCAGCTCTCCTCACCCAATCTCTCCTTCGAGGATGAGCCGACCACACTGTCAAAAATCAAAGCAGTTTCCTTGGGTACCTCCGTACTTCACTCTTTCTCCACAGAAATTGCCCTGGCTACCACATCATCAAATATTAACTATAA